GGATGTTTTGAAAAGCTTGAAACATCCTCTATAATTTTAATGTTGGTCATTTTTACAAAATAATCTTGGAACTATGTCAAAAAATGCCAAGAAGTTGGGATAAAATCCTGACCAAAATTTGTTGAAAATTTCTCTAAGTGTTAGATGAAAATGTCATGACTTCAGAAATTTATTACTCACAATCCAAGCACTTCTAGGATTTGATCAGTAAAACAAAGTTGTAGATCTCATCAAGATCTACAACTTTCATGTTGAAAGTTTTATTTGAATCATCTTGCATCTTGGTGAAAGAATGTCGTGAAATAGTGAAATTATCATGTACAAAAACACTTGGGAAAAATTTCTAAGTCCTGAAAAGTTTGACTTTTCTCATTGACTTTTGAATTTCTTGACTTCTTGATGATCAATTTTGATATTCTTGAATGTATTGATGATTTTAATCTTTGAGACTTTATGTTGACCAATCAGTCAAAGTTTGACTTTTGATGTATCAGTTGACTCTTTATCAATACAGTTGATTTTTGGTCATCTGGTCAATTTACTAAGCAGAATTGGTGATACAAGACTTGAAACTTGACATGAGCATTCTTGAAGGTCCATAACGATCCATGAAAGTCATTTGAAGTCCAATGGTCCTTGTGCAAGCCCAAATCCTAATTTTGAGGTATCAGTGTTGAGGAGATGGTTTGACCTAGTCATTACTTGTGCAAGTTTGAGCTTTTGAAAATCTTTGTGAGAAATGTCTTGAGAAAAGAGAGGGTAAATTTTAGAGTACAACAATATGGTTAATATATATTTTAATTCTTTAACTTAATTTAATGTTCTGTTGTAGTCCTTAACTAAAAAACGTTAGTACAAGTTAGTTTTTTAATTTCATTTTTGTTATCATATTTGGTTTCTTCCGTCAATTTATGGCAAAAAAATGTTAAGTTCTAGTGTTGTGGATGTATAGTAAGGCTTAATGTCCAAATGTCATTCAACGTTTGTATTATAAAGTAGGGTTTTCACTTAATGTAGCCTTATTGTGACCATCTTTATGGCACATACTTAAGTGGAAATCATACTTTATAGTACAAAGATTTAGTCACATTTAGACTTTGAGACTTGTTGTACATCCATGTCACCAGAACTTAACATTTTTTTGTCAAAATTAACGAAAGAGGCCAAATAAGATAATTGACGTGAAATTAAAGGACTAACTTGTAACGTTTCTTAGTTAAGGGACTAAAGTGAAACCTTAAGTTAAATTAAAGGACTTGGGAACTTAATAATCATGCCTTTTTGTATTTAGATGGCTCGTGGGAGAGGATAACCGAAGTAGAAGTTGACCTATCTGCTAGTTCATCAATCTAATCAGAAAATTGGATCAGAGAATATATAACAACAGGAAAAACACAAACGGAAGAAATGAGTAAATGATTGAAGAGAGCAATGAAGAAGAAGAATAAGTAACAATTGACAAAACCCTTGAAGAATCAGCAATAATTAACAAAACCCTTGAAGAAGTAGATGATTTGAAGAATCGATCAACTGTTGTTGAGGAACCACCAAAGAAACTCTGGGTAGATGTCATAAGTGGTAATGGAATCCCTGTGAATGGAATGACTATTGAGTTTGTTGCTTCAAAAATCGTGGAGGGGGAGATCAAAATTGAAAATGAAGAAACAAATGTGGAACTAAGATTTAAGTGTGAACGATATGAAACAATACATGATAAAATTTTGAAATTTTATTCAATTGCCGGAAATGTTTTTCCATGATTAAGGATATTTTCTTCTTAGATTCCACTCTTTCAAAGGTAGGGACACAATACCCATGAGAGAATCTTACACACTTCACAATATGTCCATGGTATTGAGATAATGGAATCCTGATTTTGATTTTAAAAGAGATATGTTGAGAACTCTACCTATTTGGGTTAAATTACCATAGTTACCATTAGCTCGTTAGGGTGCGAAAATTTTGGACAAGATAGGTAATGTGTTAGGGAAACCGCTCTTCACAAATGAATGTACAACTAGACAGTTGAAGTAATCATATGCAAAAATACTAATAGAGGTTGATATCACACAAAAGCCAAAGAAGTGTATTACAATAAAAAAAAACATGAAGGGGAGTGCTTTAGTCAACCAGTTAAGTGTGAATGGAAATCAAAGTATTGTGATATGTGTCAAAAGACTGGACATTAATGCAATATGAAGGAGAAACAACAAATAACCAAGCAATGGCGTGTAAAACCTCCTGAGGGACCAACTTTGCCACAACATCCATCACAATAGGTGATCAAGAGAATACTACTTGGAAGTTTGTCAAGAAAAATGGGAGAAGCAAAGGTAAAATTGCGATAGTTGAGAATACCCTGGAAAAAATTGATGAAATCACTTGTCAAAATGGATTTGAATCACTAAAGATTTTGAGTGATCCTTTAGTGACCATTAATAAGGGAGAATGATCATATCATGAAATGTGATGGGGCTGAATAATCTAGGTAAGAGTAGAGAGATAGACTCTAGTCTCAATAACATGAAATTTGAGGTTGCAATAATGGTAGAAACAAGAGCAAAACAACATAAAGCTGAAGTTATAAGTTGGGTCAAAATGGACATTCTTAGATAACTACTCAAAACATGAAAATGGAATAATTTGGGTGATATGGGATTTTAATAGAGTGAAGATCTATTATGTCTTCTGTACATCACAGATGATCCACTATGGCATTTACTCACTGAATGGTGATTTGAAGGCATGGCATTTACTCACTGAATGGTGATTTGAAGGCATGGTGCACTACAATATATGCTTTCAATACTCTAGAGCAAATGAAGAACCTCTGGAAGGATATAGAAAAGCTACATCAACAAGTTAAAGGACATTGGCTTTTGATGAGAGATTTCAATAATGTTCTTAAGGACCATGACAGAATTGGAGGTAACCCAGTTCAAGAAGCAGAATTTATTAACCTTGTCAAAATGATGGAGAGAACTGAGCTAAATGAAAAGGATAATATTGGTAAGTATTACACATAGTCCAACAAATAAACTAATGTATTATATACTCAAGAATTGATAAGGTGCTTGGCAATTTAGATTGGCACCAACCATTAAAAGAATGAGAAAACCTATCAATGGAGTTCATTTATAGCTAGAGAAATCCAGAATTGAGTTACAGGAGGCAGAACAAAACATATCACATGATAGGATGAACATTCAGAAAATAATAAAAAATGAAGTGTATAGATGAAGTTCTCAAATGGGGGAACACGTGTTGAGGCAAAGAACTAAGCTTGAGTGGTTGAAATTAGATGGAAATAATGCTTATTTCCACGCAACTCTGAAAGCAAAGCAAAAACAAACTCGAGAGATGTCCATATTCTAACAACACAAGTAGATATTGAAGAGGAATTGATAGGCTTTTATGGGAAACTTATAAAAAGTGTACTTTTTGCAATAACAAATTATTGGATGCTTTGCTTCCATCTACCAAAGAAGGTTATACAAAAGATTGAAGCAGTGTGTAGATCCTTCTTGTGGAGTGGGTGGAGAGAAGATAACAAGTAGCAAAAGGTTTGCACTCCAAAAGCACAGGGAGGCATGAACATCATATCTGATAAAGTGTTTGTGGAATCTCAGTGGAAAAGTAGATAGCTTGTGCATTGTTACTACATTAAATATAATGATTTAATGTTTGTTCCAATCAAAAACACTTGTTCTTGAATTTTGAAAGCTATTTTGAAGAAAAGACAATTTCTACAACAGCAACAGATATGACGGACCTTGCAACAAGAGAGCAAATTCTAGAGGAAAATGTACTTCACATAAAAAGAACCTCAACCCATTGTCCAATGGAGAAAACCGATTTGTAACAATCAGGCTAGACCAAGAGCAGCCTTTGCAACACTTGACGTTTATCTGTCCTAGCATAAGGAATATATGGATGAAAATTCTCGATTGGCTACAAATACAACGTACACCAAATGGATGGAGTGAAGAGCTTCAATGGATAATAAGGAGATGCAAAGGAAAAGGATGGAGGACACAAATTCTAAAATGTGCTTTCACTGAAACTCTATATGAAATCTGGAAGTATAGAAACTCCCACTGTTTTGGAGTCACAAATAAAAATACCAACATAGAAAATCACTCTATATGAAATCTGGAAGTATAGAAACTCCCACTGTTTTGGAGTCACAAATAAAAATACCAACATAGAAAATCACATCATTGATATCATAATGTATAGAACTTGGATCAAACCTAAGTTGAGACGTCATATAGCAAAATTATTGATGTCTTAGCAAACAGTTTGGAAATGAATTACTAGTTTAGATAGGCTGGATCTTGAGGATCGTCTGGTTGTATTATTTTTGGTTCAATATCAATATATTTTGATTCCAACCAAAAAAAGTTTTAAAATGACTTTTTTAACGACACAATTCAAACATCAATTTCTCATGTTTTTTTTTCATCTTCAAAGATATTTGTTTGGCATGCTAACACATAGTATCTAATTTAGTATATTTTTGTCTCAAGACCTCATAATTGTGTTCTTCTATCAAACCATTTCTAATTACACTAAATGAGGAAATCATGGTCAGAGTTTTTCCTTCAAGTCTCTTGGTCAAGGTCACAAATTATTGTTGATGTATTCTTATTAGATGTTACTTAAAATATGAAGTAAAACTTTCTTTGTTAACGTGCATGAGAATCACATATGAATATCTATGAACATGGATACTTGTTTATGCAATTAGTCATTCTTAAAAACTAGTCGAGGAAAGGAGGAGAGTTTCGAGTTTGCTTATGCAATTACTCATTCTTAAAAACTAGTCGAGGAAAGGAGGAGAGATTCCGAGTTTGCCATGTCTAAATCCCGACCTAATCTTATGTTATGTACCAATGTATAATTGCTAATAATTTAAACAATTAGAAACATGTTATGAGAATATAATAATAATCATAATAACAAATGCTATAACAAGTCCAATTAGTCCACTGTAATCTCTACATTTTTGGGGCTCTTTTTGTACAAATCATAACCTAAAACAGCCAATGCAATTCACATAAATTTTGCAATAGATGAGTATCAACATGACATGACAGTATATATACCAATGTGGAAGGTGGTACGAGGCACTTGACCCCATCCTTAAAAAGACCTGCAAATGAGTTGGAGCTCAACAGAGTCAATCAACCACCACAATTACAAAGAATACTGTACTTTTCGATATACTTTACATACATTAAGTGTCAGTTATGCACAAATTCAATGGAAATAATATGGTGACGAGACGTACCACCTTTTAGATGGAAAAAACATTATATGTTGATAATTGCATTTGTTCGATATAGTCAGCATTTTAGATATAGGTATCATTCCTTGGTTGGTCCCCACAAAGTATTTGAGTACTCACCTATGTAACACCAACACCTCTGGAAAAAAAGTGTGTCACTGTCAAACACCTGACACTTGTGATTACGTTTAATTTGTTCTTTTTTTTTTAAATTATTACTGGTGTCACCGTTTTTTTTTAAATTATTACTGGTGTCACCGTGTCAGTGTCTAGGTTGTGTTCAAGAGATTGACATAGTCATCACTGCTGAGTTAAAATCTTTGTTATATACTTTTAATAACAGCAAAGCCTATGAACTAAGTGTTCTGCTGTGTGCCTGGCTGATTATATAAGAACAAGATCAAATCCACTCTTACAAGTATCAGATCAATTCAATGTATAGAAAGCTTCTCATTTGACCAAGAAGGCTGGAGTCACCATGGCTGCAGTCAAGAAGCAAGTGAAGAAGGCTCAACTCAAGAAGGTTGAAGTCAAGAAGCAAGTGAAGAAGGTCCAAGTCCAAGAAGGATAATTCTAGTACCGACTCAAGAAGGATCTATCTTACTCACAATAGATTCTATCTAGTTGAGAAGCAACAAGTTCGAAAGAAGGTCAAACAATCTCCAGGCTTCAGCAGAAGATCCAAATCATTTATCCTCTGATTTCCTCATCTATTCTCAATACTTCATTTATATATACTTAAGAAAATCTCAAGTTCTGATTCATTGAGAAGTTGTCACGATATTATAACTAAGAAAGGGTTCTCTTTCTGCAACCAAAGAATCTTCCGATACTCTTGAGTATTCTCAATATTTTTGTACAGTTTAATTATTGAAATCAATATTTCCGTATAATTTTAATTTTCCAAAATCCAAGGATGAATTGGTAAATTTATTTAATTTATCAGTTACATTCCATTTGATGCAGCTGTGTAGGTAGTAGTATATTGAAAAGAATGATAAAATGTTGTTATGATGTTATTCTTCAGCTCTAGGCTGGTATATATAGTGGTAATACAATAATGATAATTAATTCTCTCCATAATGGAGAATAAAGGAAAATAAAAGAGAATAAATAAAAATAATAAAAATAAGGAAATAAGATATTTTCTAACACCCCCCTAAGTTGGTGCATAGATATCTATCATGCCCAACTTATCTATCAAATGCTCAAAGGTAGGTCTTGCCAAACTTTTGGTCAGGATATCCGCAGTTTATTGATTTGAAGTCGCAAAAGAGAGACATATGATTCCAGTATCTAACTTCTCTTTTATGAAGTGTCGATCAATCTCAATATGCTTGGTTCTGTCATGTTGAACTGGATTATGAGCTATGCTAATGGCAGCTTTACTGTCTAATAGAGTAGTTTACTAATATGCCCTTCATTTTATCTTTCTATTCTGTTTTGCTGAGCTGTCAGGTTTGTTAGTGGTGTGCTGTTAGCTTGTTATGGCCTCACACCTTTTCTGCTTTGTATCACATGGCTATATAAAGTAGCCTCTTGTATTACTGTTTAATCAGATAATACAATGAGAGTTTCTTTTCATTCTCTCTCTTTACCTATTTCTATCATGGTATACAGAGCATAATTTTTTTTTTTCCGATCCATGGAACCTTTATTCCCTTCCTCTCAGGTGAAACTTTCTCACCTAATTTCTGTTAAGCTTGACGACAAGAATTTCAAACAGTGGAAGCAGCAGATTGATGGCGTCGTCCGTGGTCATCGTCTTCAACGCTTTGTCACTGTTCCGGTGATTCCGCCACCGTCTCCCTCAGATCCTGCATCTCACAGTGCGTTTCTTGAGTGGGAACAGCAGGATGCTCTCATTTGCACCTGGCTTCTCTCTACCATCTCCGATGCTCTCCTTCCTAAGCTCGTTGACTGCAAGCATGCGTGGCAGGTGTGGACAGAAGTTCATCGGTACTTTGATGTTCTTCTCTCCACCAAGGCTCGTCAACTTCGTTCAGAACTCCGGCGTCTTACGAAGGGTTCACTAACGATTACTGAGCTTATGACGCGTTCACGTGACATCAGTGAGTCGCTAACCTCCATCGGTGATCCCGTTCCTCTTCGTAACCTAATTGAGATTGTTCTTGATTCATTACCTGAGGATTATGATTCTATTGTCGCCGCCGTTAACAGCAAAGATGACGTTAGCTCCTTGGAAGAGTTGGAGTCTTCCTTGCTTGCTCATGAGTCGCGATTGGAGAAGCATCGCAAAGCTGCGATTACAGAACCGGCGACGGCGACGATCAATCTCACTCAAGCAACACCTTCTCCCACTCCAGTCGCTTCTGATCAAGTCATCTCCGAGGCGTTTCCTCAAGGAACGAGTCACGTCACCGCTAATGCTGAAAATCATTCCTATGGTGCACGTGGTGGTCGTTCTGGTCGCGGTGGTGGTCGTTTTGGTCGTGGAGGAGGTCGTTTTGGGAAATCACCGTGTCAGATTTGTCACAAACCTGGTCATGATGCTTCAGTATGCTACTATCGTTATGCCAATTCAAGTGGTGCTAGTTATCCACATCATCGAGCTCCCTTCAATCCTTTTCACGTGGCTCCTCGTGCTGTTTATCCTGTGCAGCTTGCTTATGCTTCTCCCAGAGCTGCGCCTCCCAGATCTTCTGCACCACAAGCCTTTTATGCAGGTACTGAAGCTAGCAGTGCAAACCAGTGGTGGTATCCTGACTCAGGAGCTTCTCATCATGTTACTCCTGATGCCTCTAATGTGTCTGACTCTGCCTCCGTGCCTGGAACTGAACAAGTTTTCATAGGTAACGGCCAAGGTTTGTCCATCAACTCTGTAGGTTCTATGTCTTTTCCCTTACCTCACAAACCTCATCTATCTCTCACTCTTAACAATCTCTTACATGTCCCTCACATCACCAAAAACCTTATGAGTGTGAGCAAATTTGCTCAAGATAATTCTGTATTTTTTGAATTTCATCCTAAGTTTTGTGTTGTCAAATCTCAGGCTACTTCTGAAGTCTTACTCAGTGGTCTTGTTGGTGCTGATGGCCTCTATAAATTCTCCAATCCAGCTGCTCCTCCGTTGTCCAAATCTTCTTCCTCTTATAGTTCTAGTCATAGTTATCCTGCAGCATACAATTGTAATACTTCCTATAGGACGGATGTTATAGATTCTATATCTCAGTGTACTGAATCTGTTGCAAATCATACTATAAATCCTTTGTCTTCTTGTAATGAATCTTGCAATTATAATGTTACAAGTACCTTTTTCAATCCTTCTCTAAACTCTGTCAGTACTGTTTTACCTTCCTCACACTTTAATGCTGCAAATTCTATTGCATCCAATAAATATGTGCTTTGGCATACTAGGCTGGGACACCCCAATCATCATGCCCTCACTGAAATCTTCAAACTGTGTAATCAATCCTTTCCATCTAAACCCCCTGCTGAGTTATGTCACGCTTGCTGCATTGGCAAGTCTCACAGACTTCCTTCTTCTTTATCTACCACAGTTTACTCTCATCCTTTTGAGCTGGTTGTATGTGATCTTTGGGGTCCTGCCCCTATGCAATCTTCCAGTGGTTATACCTATTTCCTAACCTGTATTGATGCCTTCTCTAGGTTTGTTTGGGTTTTTCCTCTCAAACTTAAGTCTGACACCATGGTTCAATTTCTTCAGTTTAAGAAAATGGTTGAACTTCAGTTCAATTGTCCCATTAAATGTGTCCAAACTGATGGGGGAGGTGAGTTTAGGCCTCTTACCAAATATCTCACAGATTTAGGGATTGTTCACAGATTCACTTGTCCCCATACACATCACCAAAATGGCCTTGTTGAACGTAAGCACAGGCACATTGTTGAGACTGGTCTCACACTCCTTGCTCAGTCCACCCTTCCCTTAAAATTCTGGGATCATGCCTTTGTCACAGCTGCATATCTCATTAACAGACTTCCTACACCTATACTTGACAATGTCTCACCTTATTTTAAATTACTTCACAAAAACCCTGACTATACTATCCTTAAAGTCTTTGGCTGTGCATGTTATCCTTTTCTCCGTCCCTATAATTCTCATAAACTTGATTTTAAATCTCAACTGTGTATTTTCCTTGGATACTCTACCTCTCACAAAGGCTATAAATGCCTTGCTTCAGATGGTCGCATTTTTATTTCCAAGGATGTTGTTTTTAATGAAGCAAATTTTCCTTATTCCACCTTGGTTTCTTCTTCAAAATCTGTCTCTCTTCCTAACACTCCATCCTCTTCCTCTCCCTCTCTCAGTTTTCCTCCTGTTCCCTCTGCTCCCTCTACTTCTAATCTGTCTTCTATGCCTTCTTCTTCCTCAAATTCTGCTTTTCCTCAACTTAGCAGTCCCACTATTTCTAATTTTTCTCCAATCTCTTCTTCCTCTTCCTCTGCTGCTCCCTCTAACAACTCTTATTCTTCTGGTCAGCAACCTATCCCTCAACCTCTCACTGCCATTCCCATTACCTCTTCTCCTTCTTCCTCTCCTGCCCTCATTCTCTCTGATCCAGCTGAAGCTAGCACTCTTTCTCCCTCCTCTTCATATTCCTCTCCTTTAGTTGGTCCCTCCCCTGGCCCTAGTCCTATTTCCCACCCTGCTGCCACAGCTTTACCTTCCATTCACCCTCAAAACATCCACCCTATGCAAACTAGAGCCAAAAGAGGAATCACTCTTCCTAGACTTCACCCTACTCTATTAATAGCCCACCTTGAACCTACATCTGTTGAGCAAGCCTTGGCTGCTCCTAACTGGTTTCAGGCCATGAAGGAAGAACATCAGGCACTGCTGAGAAATCAGACCTGGACTTTGGTGAAAGCTCCTGCTGGAAGGAAGCCTATTGGATGTAAGTGGGTGTTCAGGACTAAGGAGAATCCTGATGGTTCCATAAACAGGTATAAAGCCAGATTAGTGGCTAAAGGGTTCCATCAAAAGGCTGGTGATGATTTTCAAGAAACTTTTTCTCCTGTCATTAAACCTGTTACTGTGAGAATTGTTCTTTCTATTGCTGTTACAAACAGGTGGCCATTGCAGCAGATTGATGTTAACAATGCCTTCCTCAATGGCACTCTTGAAGAAGAAGTCCTTATGCAACAGCCCCCTGGCTTTGAAGTTGCTGACAGAACTCTTGTTTGCAAGTTAAATAAGGCTATTTATGGTTTAAAACAGGCTCCTAGGGCCTGGTTTGATAAGCTAAAGTGTGCCTTGGTTCAACTCGGGTTTAAGGCTAGTAGATGTGATCCTAGCTTGTTTTTGTTGCATCAAGGTAAACTTCAGATTCTAATTCTGGTCTATGTTGATGATATAATCATCACGGGTAGTTCTGCTCCTTTTATAGCTTCCTTGATCAAGCATCTCAATAATTCTTTCTCTCTCAAACAGCTGGGACAACTTGATTATTTCCTAGGGATTCAAGTGACTCATCTCCCTAATGGTTCTCTTCTCTTATCTCAGACTAAGTACATCACAGATTTGCTTTCAAGGCTTAATATGTTGAATGCCAATGGCATGCCTACTCCCATGGTCTCTAGCAGCAAATTGTCCAAGGTTGGGTCTGCTGCGGTTGATGACCCTACTCAGTTTCGGTCTGTGGTTGGTGCCCTTCAATATGCTACCTTAACTAGGCCAGAGATCTCTTTTTCAGTCAACAAAGTCTGTCAGTTTTTGTCCAATCCTTTAGAGGATCATTGGAAGGCTGTTAAAAGAATCTTAAGGTACCTAAGTGGTACTCTGCACCATGGTCTTCTCCTTCAGCCTGCTCCTATTCAGCAACCAATGCAGTTGCTAGGGTTCTGTGATGCAGACTGGGCATCAGACCCTGATGACCGGAGATCTACTTCAGGGGCCTGCATATATCTTGGGCCTAATGTTGTTTCCTGGTGGTCCAAGAAGCAACAGCTTGTTGCAAGGTCCAGTGCTGAAGCGGAATATCGCAGTATGGCTCAGCTAGCTGCTGAACTCATTTGGATTCAGTCCTTGCTCAAGGAACTCCATTATTCCTCTCAAGTTCCTAAGATCTTGTGTGATAACTTGAGCACTGTTACTTTGGCTCACAATCCTATTCTTCACAACAGGACTAAGCATATGGAGCTTGATATTTTCTTTCTGCGAGAGAAAGTACTCAGCAAAAGTCTGACTGTTGTTCATGTACCAGCTCAAGATCAATGGGCTGACATTCTCACTAAGCCCCTCTCTGCTGCCAAGTTTGTTCCTCTTCGTTCCAAGTTGCGTGTGTATGATAAGGCTGCTTTGACAAGTCTGCCATCAGCTTCTAAGGGGGACTAATAGAGTAGTTTACTAATATGCCCTTCATTTTATCTTTCTATTCTGTTTTGCTGAGCTGTCAGGTTTGTTAGTGGTGTGCTGTTAGCTTGTTATGGCCTCACACCTTTTCTGCTTTGTATCACATGGCTATATAAAGTAGCCTCTTGTATTACTGTTTAATCAGATAATACAATGAGAGTTTCTTTTCATTCTCTCTCTTTACCTATTTCTATCACTGTCAGAGTATAATTTTAATGGAAGCTCAATTTTCATCTTAAGTACTTCTAGGACTCTAAGGATCCATAATCCTTCACAAATACCTTGATACATAGCTCTAAACTCGGCTTCTGAACTACTTCTTGCTACAACTCCTTGTTTCTTGCTTCTCTATGTCACAAGATTACCTTAAATATAGGTACAATATCCAGAGGTTGATCTTCTATCTATGATTGAACATGCCCTATCAGCATCGGTGAAGATAGACACATTTCTTTCACTAGTTTTCTTAAAATGTAAGCCTTTACCAGGATTTCCCTTCAAATATTTCAATATTCTGTAGACTGCCTCAAGATGTTCTTCGTAAGCAGAATGCATAAACTGACTTACTACACTAACTGAGAAAGCAATATCAGGTCGAGTGTGTGACAAATAAATCAGTTTTCCAACCAATCTCTGATATCTTCCAGTATCAACAGGAACATTACCTTCTCCCCAAAGTTTAGCGTTAGGATCCATAGGGGTATCTGCAGGACGACATCCACTCATTCCTCTTTCTTTCAATAAGTCTAGAATGTATTTCTGCTGTGAAACCACAATACCATTCTTTGACCGAGCAACCTCCATACCAAGAAAATATCTCATGGATCCTAAGTCCTTGATTTCAAAGTCTACTGTTAATTTCTCTTTCACTCTTGCCATTTTAAGAGTATCGTCTCCAGTAAGGACAATATCATCAACATATACAATCAGGACAACAAATTTCTCATCATGGGAGAACTTTGTGAACAATGTGTGATCAGCATGTCCTTGAATGTATCCTTGTTTCTTCATGGACTGAGTGAATTTTTCAAACCAAACTCTAGGAGATTGTTTTAATCCATACAAAGACTTATTCAATTTGCATACATTTGATCCAAATTTGTTTTCAAATCCAGGAGGAATGTCCATGTATACTTCTTCTTCTAAATCGCCATTAAGAAAGGCATTTTTAACATATAACTGATGTAGGGGCCAATCCAGGTTAGCAACAAGCAATAAAAGAATTCTTACAGTGTTCAATTTTGCAACAGGAGCAAATGTCTCTGAGTAGTCTATACCATAGGTCTGAGTAAAACCTTTAGCCACCAAGCGAGTCTTGTACCTTTCAATTGACCCATATGAATTATACTTCACAGTAAACACCCATTTGCATCCAATTGTCTTCTTGCCATCCGGTAGTGTCGTAACACTCCAAGTTTTGTTCTTTTCTAGAGCTTTCATCTACTTAAGTACAACTTCCCTCCACTTTGGAATTTCTAGAGCAACCTATATATTTTTTGGAATTTCTACACTAGACAATTTTGAGGTGAAGGCAGACAAAGATGAAGACAAATTTGAATATGATATAAAATTGGACGTGAGATGTTTAGTACAAGATCTAACAGGTTTTCTAATGGCAACAGGATCATCTATATCAGGATACAAAATACGACTTTCAGAGATAGAGATGGACTTACCTTTCCTATTCTTAGGAGGGTGATCATTCCCCGGTTCAGATTTGTGACAGTGTTGAGATGTGGACTCATCCATACCTTTGCGGTGCTTTTTCACAAAAACCTTCCCTTTCCAAATCCTGTTTCCTAATTCAAATTTGTTTTCCTGAAGTGACTCATTATTTTGTGGCATTTCAATTAGATCATCACTATCATCGTTTTCAGAAATTTCATTGTTTTCTTCATGAGAAAATGTAGGCTCAGATTCACTAAGTTCCTTACTCATAACAAGAGTAGGATCAGATACAGAATCATGGCCATTTTCTGTTGGTGCAGAAATAAAAGTCTTAGAACTTTGTGATACAGACAAAGATAAATTATTTAAAAAACTCATGTCCTCAATTCGGCAACTCCATTTTGTTAAGGAGTATTAGGACATGAACTTTAATGTACAATCCCATTTTTTAGAAAAAAATCATCCAGGATATTGTTTAAATATTCTTTGCCATTATCACTTCTAAAGACTTGAATATTTGTTTGAAATTGGTTTTGCACCATTGTACAAAAATTCTTTACAGCATGACAAACATCTGATTTCCCCTTTAACAAGTACACCCAACATACCCTTGTATGGTCATCTAGAAATGTGATAAACCATTTTTTGAGAGAGAGTGTACTTGTACGGTTAGGGCCCCAAACATCACTGTGAATAATAGAAAACGATTTTGATGGTTTATAAGGCTGTATTGAAAATCGGGAACGATGATGCTTTGCAAACTCACATGCTTCACATTTAAACAAAGAAAAATTCATAATATGAAATAACTTAGGAAACAAGTGTTTTAAGTAACGAAAACTAGGATGACCTAACCTTAAATGCCATACCATAATGTTGTCAGCTTTATTATTCAAAACAGAAAAAGACTCAAAACATGAACTTATTGTTTTTTAAGGTAGTTGTGATGCAGATCCAACGTCAAGGTAATAGAGTCCTCCACTCTCCTTAGCACTGCCAATCATCTTTCCCGAGTTCAAATCCTGAAAGACACAGTGAGATCGGAAAAAATTAGTTTGACAATTTATATCTTTGACTAATTTACTGACGGACATTAAATTACATGATAAATTTGGAACATCAAGGACATTTTTAAGAGTTAACATCGGAGACAACACAACTGACCCTTTACCTGCAATGGCTGAAAAAGAGCCATCTGTTATTTTTATTTTTCGATTACTTGCACATGAACTATATGAAGAGAACAAAGTAGACTCACCTGTCATGTGATGTCATGTGATCAGAGGCACCTGAATCTACTATCCAAATATGACTGAATTGACACTAATAAATACAGAATTACCTTTTGTTGCTATAGAGCAAGAAGGAGTTGGAGACTCGAGGAGTTTGTACAGTTTGTCTAGTTGTTCCGTAGTGAGTGGAAGCTGAGATGAAGAGATTTGTTGCCCTTGATCAGAATTACTAGCCTGAAATGCACGGCCACCGTCGTCACCGCAGCCACCGTCCGACTCAGGTGGTGGTTGTTTTCCTTGGTTGGATCTGGTGTAGGCCTGTGCTGGGGAAGACCACCTGTTGTTCTGATTCGCCATAGGGGGCTAAACGAGTATGTGAAGCAGGTCGGGTAAAAAAAATTACGGTAAAACCCCGAACCCCACTAGTTGTAGGAAGCTTTATAGTAAAACCCTAACCTAGTGTTTTTGATACCATATTGAAAAGAATGATAAAATGTTGTTATGATGTTATTCCTCAGCTCTAGGCTGGTATATATAGTGGTAATATAGTAATGATAATTAATTCTCCCTTTAATGGAGAATAAAGGAAAATAAAAGAGAATAAACGGAAATAATAAAAATAAGGAAATAAGATATTTTCTTAACATAGTAGAAGAAATTTTATGGAACCTTACTTATAGGAGGTATGTTGTCTTGGCCAGGGATGTTCACGTATTCTTCTCTAAGACAGAGAGAGCTGGTGTCAGGTAGTTATTTGCTTTGTCAGGCAAATGGGCAACCTAATCAGGCACAAAAATAACCAGTTTCCATGAATGCAGACTAGATCAAAAGGAAATGTTTATTTTCAGTGTGTTTTTTTTCACATACCAGCTCATAGAGCTCCTTCCCATCCTCAGCAACATACTCGTAACATACCTAGACAAGGTTGAAAAGGTTAAGTTTCTTTTTATTTCAAGTTCTCTTTTAGTTTTCACAGCGAAACAGTTTACTCACATCAAAGCTTTTGTTTCTTGCAGTTGAATCATGGAGTGCCTTCACACATATATCAGCCACATCAGCGCAGCTGATGCCCTATAAATTATGACATTTGTTATAATGGTCAGGTCAGTTATTCCAATAATGAAAAATTGTTCACAGGTATTTGAAAGATATTATTATTAAAATCAAGTATTTGAAATAAATATGTTGGGGAAATAGGCTTTCCACGATGATAGTAAAGAATAGAAAACACTAACCCGAGATATTCTGTTTCCTTGATCAAATATTAGAGCACGCTGTCCACCAGGTTCTTCCTGTCAGAAAAACATGCATGATACTGTAATTAATAAGATAAATACACTATATTACATTTTCATACCAACATAGTGTTTGGTTTGGGATGGATTTAGAGGGGGGAGGGGGGGCATATGGGTTTATAAAATTTTAAATACATTCACGAAATTATCATTACTTTTATATTAGAAATTCAATATCGTCCAAACCGGTCTCTTTGATGCCCCTTGTTTTTTTTCTTCCAATTGGTAGGACTTCCAGCTCCCTTTCCTTTACCTCATATATTACTAGATGTTTTGGCTTTGCTGTTTTCTTAAAAAAATGACGGGTATGAAAGAGTGGTGACCAAAAATGCTCTGATCTGGGCTGTTTTTGTAAAGAGGAGCACTTACTGGTAGTGAACGAGATTCTTAAGCATTTGAAGGCAAGCCTGAGAAGAGGCCTTTTGCTTAAGGAAGAATGAAAACTTTCCTATGAGGTATATCCAGACGCTGACAGCGTGGAATCCATAGTACCTAACAGGTCTACTTCAAGATATTGTATACTTTTGGGAGGGAATTTGGTGACATGGAGAAGTAAGACATAAAGTTTTGTTTCAAGAACAAGCGCAGAGCAAGACTCCTGAGGTATGGGGATGGCTCAGTCTCATGGGGTAATTAAATTTTCTCAGTTAAGCGAAATGTAATTTAATTTTCATTATTCACCATCTGTTTTCATGTTCCCCTAAATAACAAAGCACAAAAAAAGATCTCATAAAAAATATTTTGAAAATTGATCTCATAGAAAACATTATTGTATAATTAAAACCGAAATGAAATAATAAAGGTAAGTTCAAATAAACATCATCCAGAGCTAATTGAGGCAACTAAATCAGGGCATTGACTATGAACAAAATTTTACAATCTTAAACCCTTAAAAATCAAATTGATACATATTCAAGTACAAATTCTACCAGCACAAAACAAAAGTAACTTTACCTGCAATGGACCCGGACGAACTATAGTGTACCCAAGGCCAGATCTTCTCAAGGAATCTTCACCTGCCTGAAGAATTTGGTTTTAAGGTGACCAAACATACCAACAAGGAAAACAACAAACAGAAAAAAGAATCAATTCTCAATCAATTATGTCAAAGAAATTAAACAAAGAAAGGAACCTACCCTCTTGGCTTTAAGAACTTGCTCTCGCCGGGAAGGCTCAACTCCTAGGCCAGAACATGAAACTAAGACAAAATCGGTTTCTTGTCCAGTCTGCAGCATATTCACATGCAAAATTTACATTAGGATTATAAGGATCCTCAGCACTACTGCAGAACAATAGAACATACATCATCCAGGTGGCTAGTTAAGCAGTCTTCTTTTCTATTTTTCACTTTACTGGAATCAAGCAGGTAAGCAAGAAATGAAAGAATGTTTGTTCTACAAGAATTTTCACACTGCCAACAAACTGAACAAACGATAACAGTATTCTTGGAATAAATAATTTAGATTTGATAATGATGACAATAATTCCCTTCATAACTTGCTCCATAATATCAATCAATATACCTAAAGAAAAGAGTATCAGTAAGTTATTGTTGCGGAGAGCCAGTTTTAATAGAAGCTTGCCTAAGTTGTCAGCGGTTGGACTAGAATTGCAATAATTACATGGTTGCCAGACCTAACTACTATAAATTGAAAATTATCAATAGGAAAAGTTGAGTGTTTCATACTCCAAACGAATAAAAATAAATAATTATGAAGAAATATAGTATGCCAAAGAAATAATGTCAAGGGAGAAAAAGTATATTTCAAAGACCATCATGTAACATAACAACATTAAAGGACTTCAAGAATTTCAGCAAAGAATTATAGATCACAAGCCATTATTACATTTATAAGAATAACCACATCTTTAGAAGATAGAAAATTAACAAGCGTCATTCTATGTTTCCCATACTGTTGTTGCCTTCTTAGTATCCTTGCACTTCATTTTCTAAATAAGATAAAATTGATATAAATATTTTATCCTCCTCACCCGTCTGAACATTTGCGATTGTAATATACATTTGAACTAAGGCATTTTACAATAGATATATCCAGTGAGCATTAGACAAGCATATAATCTACACTGTTGTAGTTTATGCATATTAAAACAAGCATACAGTGAGAATAAGAGAAAATTGCATAAAAGAACCTACAGGCAAGGCTTTTATATATTCCAATATTAGCTTAAAGCTTCTCAAATCCTGGTTCTTTTCCGTATTAACTTCAATATTCCTCTGAAACAAGAGTGAGTATACGATCAGCACACAGGAACTATACACTATTTTAAATAAAATAATAACACAAATCTAGGCAGAAAAAAGAGGGGGGAAATGTAGTGTAAACAACAAAAGCAAGGAAATAGGGGATCTTCATAACTTATTGCCTGTATTTAGAAGATCGTAAGGTATTTAACTTGAAAGGAGATGATACCCACAAAAAATTGTATTGGATAAAAAGTTAACACCCTCATTATTGGTTGGTTGCTAAGAAGGAGCTGTTAGAATGTTCCGAGTAAAGCAGGTTTATGGTGGGAAGAATAGATGGGGTTAGAAAGTTTTTAGAATCCAAATCCTGTTGGTCTAATACTAACAAACATAACGGTCCACTGGAGAATTCAAGGGATACTTGTAAGGAAATTAAAAGGTGTTAGTAGACAGAAAAGCACCAGGGACCTTGAATGTCCTAAAACAAAATTTTCTGTTTTGTAAACTATGAGGCCCTTTTACCAATGTTCCGAAATGGACTGTTTATTGAACCAATAAAGGCACCGGTTCAAATGTTCAATTGGGGTTCAACCACGATCTTATCATGATCACACAGAATAATAGTAACATTGGAATGTCTTCCTTCCAATGTTTAGTCTTCCATTTGGATTAGAATACTCAATAACCTTTTCTTATCGTATGACATTTTTTCACGGTGAGATGTTGCTATGGTTTATTCTCATGATTTTTCTAAAGAATATAGATTTTCTGCATTCTGACTAAGGCCTTTTTGTCTCTCACCCATTATCCACATATTTTTAAATCAAAGGAGGGAAAGTTGTTGTTGACAAATATTATAAAAATGTTAGTTATATTACAAAGACAGACAAGATAAGTGCAAGGTCCAAAAACAAAAGTCAAATTTAAGAAAAAGAATTGGAAACATTAAGGAATTGGACATAACCTGTCTTCTAGGCTCAAACCGTATTGTTAATGTATGTACAAGAAAAGGGTCTAAAACTGGATCATTTGGTTGTACAGGACGGAATGATGAAAATGGCACTCTAACCTGTCATAGTAATACAGATAAATCTGTCATCCGTAGTAACAAAATAATTATATTTTAGAAGTGTCTTAATCGGGGAATGGTTGAGCTATAGCGGCACTAAAGAGAGATTGAATCTTACCCTGCAAAATCCCACTTTTGTACTAAATCTTGCAAAATACAATTTACTCTGACTTAGATCCGCTGAAGGACCAGCTTCAAGAATTAATACATAAGATCTTCCATTGCCACCAACAGAGAGAACCAAACCCTCATACCTAGCATGACAGATAACATTATGATTGAATACATGATAGCAATTCATATCTATACAAAATATAAGCTATACTAGATTAGTTTCTTATGAGCAAAATATCTATGTAGTACCTGTCAAGAGTAGAGCCCAGAGGTAGAGAAAGCTTTTTAGACAGTTCTACATAGCCACCTCGACTGAAGACATACCCTAAAATTAAAATATAGGTGTAAAAATAGAATTCTTGGACTTGGTGGTGTTGTTCATTGATATCCTACCCATATACCTGAGAAAACAGCTTCTCCATTCTCAGTGAAGTCAAATTTGGCATCCATCCCTCCATCATATTTTGATGTAACAACGTCTTGGAAGTAAGTTCCTTGGCGAGTTTCCCATCCATTGAGTGAAGACTCAGTTTTGAATTTAGCAATAGTAAGCTTACTTTTGCTGCTTTTCCCAGCTCGCAACTGAGCCAATTTATTATTGTGATCCTGAAATGCTTTAGATATGTTATAAACTCCTTGATGATCGACCCTGAAGAGATCACCGGTAATAGTAGAGCGGGCAGTGGCACAATAAATAATTTTGTTAGAGCATTCTACAGCAGCCTTGACAGTGGTAGGATCACCAACATCCCCAATCACTATCTCTACTGACCTTGGAAGAAGCTGTAGCACCTCTTCATCTGCCTCCCTAACCAAAGCCTTTATTATAATGCAACAAAAAAAAAAAAAAGTTCAGTTAACATGAATTTAGTTTGTGAGAAAGGAAGGAGTAAAAAAAAGAGAGAGAGAAGGAAGGACCTTGACAGTGTAACCTCTGAGCATGAGTTTACGAACAACAATGCGGCCGATGCGGCTGGTGGCACCAACGACGAGGACAGTTGTATTCTGAGCGCCAGGAACAGCAAACTCGCACATAGGACCTTCACGGACGAGAAGGGCATCTAGAGTGTCCTGATCATCGGTGCGGATAGTCCTGGAAATCTGACCCAATCCAGAGAATTTTCTCCAAACATCATCGAATAGCTGTCGCGATCTTCGACCCAGTCCGACGGGGTTGACGTCGTCGAGACTAAGCGAGACAGACTGTTGTCGTTTATCATCATCGGTTTCGTTCTTGCCAGTATTTGGAGCAGTAGCCCTAGGAGTTGGTAGTAGCAAGCGGCGATGATGGTTAGTGTTCCGTTGGAATCTGAAAGGATTTCGAAGATCGGAGGGAAATGTTATTGCCGTTGAGGCGGAGGCGGAGGCGGAGGCAGTCATTGTTAATGCGGTTGAGCAGCTCAACTACGAGCATAATCAAGTGTGTTTCTGTGATCCCAATTGGAATTCAAATGTGTAGTGGACTCACAATGACACGATAATCTCCACCACGTAACTTTCCAACCAATCCACAACTAAATCATGAACTCGCTGCTTCCACGTACTCACCTTACTTCCCCTACTATTATTATTATTATTATTATTATTATTATTATTATTATTATCCCTATTATTATTATTATTATTATCATTATTATTATCCCTATTATCATTATTATTATCCCTATTATTATTATCCCTATTATCATTATTATTATTATTATTATTATTATCATCATTATTATTATTATTATTAGTGATCTGGACTGGGTCTACGTTCGTCCTATGAACGGGAAGTCCAAAGACAGTCCAAGTTAAGGACTGTGGGGCAACTCCTCATCCAATCGTTGGAGGACGTGGCCCACGACCTCCTGGCATACATCTTAAACTGTTCTCCGGGAATCTCGGGTCCAGTCCTATTCTCGCGGAGTAGTTGATCAGGGGGAATTCATTTGCTGGACTCCATACACACGTAAACCCTGGCAGTTCTTGTTATTGGGCCTCCGCGTGGCTCAATAGTGGGGACATTGGCCCAACGCTAGGGGCTATAAATACCCTCTCTCACAAGAGGGTCAGGTATTCATTCACACATCTCAAAACTCATACTTGCTTGCTCATTCTACTTCTTACTTTACCATCGGAGTGTCTTGCAGGTACCCCCCCATCTCATTTAAGTTCAACCTGAAGCCAGTTGTGACGGTCCATCTCTGATTCGGTAAGATCAGTGGCGCCATCTGTGGGAATCTAAGCTTCCCTGTCTTCTATTCACTTGAGACTAAAGTTAAACAATCATCGACTGTCATGGCTGACCAGACTCCAGACAACTTGAACATCCGTGTCATCGACGTTAACAACAACATCGTCGACAATAATGTCGGCCTCGACAACACCGGTACCTCCGACCATAACACAGTCCCTGGCGTCAACATGACCGGGCCTTCTAACTATAGGGACTGAGCCACCGCTTCATCTTCATCAATGCCTCCTCGACTTGAAGAAGATCGGCCACCTCCCCTGAATTATCCACACTTTCAATTTCACGAGGTCCCCATCCCCGCCGGGGCAGACGCCACGACCAGGGCACTGTTTGCGACAATCAATCAAACCAACTATCTAATATTTTCCCAGGGGGAAAGACTGAGGGCACTCGAGGACGATCGGAGGCCCCCGAGAAGACACAGGAGACCTCAATCTCCTCTCCCTCGACAAGCGAATGAAAATCCCCAATCTCCCCCGCGGAGACAGAATTGGGACATCTCTCAAAGTCCGTCGCCCCGACCACTCAGGTGACGACCCCCTTTGGAGAGGGAAGAGCTCATCGACGCGGGAAGGCGCGACTATGGCCCCTCGCGGCAAGAACGAAGATCCCCCAGAGACAGGCACGGGGGAAATCATCAACGATCATACCGTCCAAGGAACGCTTCGCGCGACCAGTGCCACCGTGACCGCCACTACATCGGATCTTCGTCTCGCTCTCCCGAACGGAGTGACAAGGACGATCCCTGCGGTCCCTTGTACAAGCTATCATGGAGGCTCCCATTCCACCGGGCATGGAGAAGCCTCCTCACTTAAAGGAGTACGATGACATCGCCGACCCGGTCGACCATATAGACAGGTCTGAAGCCATGATGCACTACCACAACGTCGGGGGACCAATCAAGTGCCGGTTGTTCCCCACGACTCTAAGGAAAGTGGCTATGGACTGGTACAAAGGTCTCGCCCCCGGGGTCAATTACCTCTTGGCGAAACCTGAAGAACCAGTTCATCAACTTGTTCACTGCTTCGCGATGACACCCGAAGACCGAAGCAGCGCTCGAGGCCTTCGTCCAGAGACACGATGAGACCTTGAGAGAATTCATTGACCGCTTCAATCGGGAAGCCATCCAGGTCCTCTGCACGAACCATATGAAGAGGTACCTGCTCGAGAGGGGGCTCCTCCCGGGCACCGAATTCAGAAAAGCCGTAGGCATCGAACCACCCCGGATGTTCGATGCCCTCCTCGAGAAGGCCAGGGCCTATATGGACTACAAGGAGAGAGAAGCAGCCAACAGAGCCCGAGATCCCAGGAACCGCGAATCCAGCAGTAATCTACGACAAGACATCGCCCCTCCTCGACGAACTGGAGAGAAGAGAAGGGACGATAAACCCCGAGACGCCTGGGAACAAAGGGGGCCCTCGGGGAGGTTCACTGAATACACTCTGCTAACGGCTTCCCGCGAGTGCATCTTAGCGGAGTGCGCAAGTACAAACTTCAAGGACGGCGGTGTCAAGCGTCCCCGCCCCGCTCCTGCCAAACCCGGGGTAGATCGAAGTAAATACTGTCAGTATCACCGGAGCCACGGGCACTTGACCGAAGACTGCGTCCACCTCAAGGACGCCATCGAGACCCTCATAAAAGGGGGAAGACTTGCATAATATCGGTGAAACGACGCTCCTCGTCGGGATGCCCGTGAGACGAGGGAAGTAGAAGAGGATGCCCGACCATTTGACGAATTAGTTCCCATCTAAAACGCATTCTCCCTCACAAGACCCGAGGACTTCTACGTCCCCGAACATCTGCAAGAGCCTCTATCTACGCACAGCAAGTGGGAAAACTTCCCCTCCGCCATGGTCATCAACGGCAGAGGGTTTAATGATCTGACCATAAATTCGGCAAAGAGAAATCTGGACGAACTGGTCTACGCGGCTCCCTCGTAAACCTTGACCTTTGAAAGAGTGAAAGGCAGATCAGAGCCGATCACCTTGTACCTCGAGGAGCTTCCAGGTGGGGCCCCCAATTCGGCTATCCCTCTTCTGATAAGGGCGAGAATGGCCAACTTCAACGTACATCGCGTCCTGGTCGACGAGGGAAGTTTCGTCAACATAATGTACAGCCGGCTGTTCAGAACCCTGCAGCTTGATGACTCTCACCTTTCACCATACGCGAGGTCAGACCTGCAGGGCTTTAATGGCTCGACATCCAAGCCATGGGGGTACGTCAAGCTTATGGTCACATTCGGTGAAGGCACCGCTACCAGGCAGGTCAAGGTGTGCTTCCTCGTTATCGATTGCCCATCCCTCTACAACTGCATTCTCGGGAGGCCGACACTGGTAGAGTTGACCGTGGTGCCATCCACCGTCCACTTAAAGATGAAGTTCTACACCAAGAGGGCATGGGTTGCCACTATTCAAGGCGATCTAGCAGCTGCCCGAAGGTGCTTTAACGCGGCGTCCAAGGGATACAGCACGGTCGACACCAGCACACGGCCTGCCAAGAAAGCTGCAAATGCACGATCAGAGCCTCAGCGGTCAGAGCCCGTCAGAGTAGAAGAACAGAGGATCTCTCCAAAGGTTTACTAGATCTCTCTAGACACTCGCTTTGACCAGGACAAGCCCTCTAGCGGCGAGTAAGTTCCCCTCCGACCAATTCCAGATGGGGACTTCGAGCTTATCCCACTCGGTGAAGACCCAAGCAGAGGATTGAAGATTGACAGCAGACTCCCCGACTTGGCGAGGAAGCAGATCAAGGCCTGCTTGAGGGAAAATGCGGATCTGTTCGCATGGAGTGCTGCAGAGATGCCCGGTCTCGACCCTGAGGTCGCCTGTCATCAACTTGCCATTGACCCAACCGCTAGGGCAGTAGTAAAACATAGACGTAGGTAGTCTCCGGAGAAAGCGGAGGCTGCTGAAAAAGCTGTAAAAGACCTCCTAGAGACAAATTTTATTTCTGAAGCCCGGTATTCAACCTGGCTGTCAAATGTTGTACTTGTTAAGAAAAATAATGGAAAATGGTGAATGTGCGTTGACTACACTGATCTTAACCGGGCATGCCCCAAAGATGCATTTCATTTACCTAATATTGATATGCTGGTCGACAACTCAGTCGGCTATAAAATTCTATCGTTTATGGATGCATATTCGGGCTACAACCAAATCCCAATGGCAATAGGCGACAAACACTGCACTGCTTTAATGACTAGCTCGGGCAACTATTACTACAACGTAATGCCATTCGGTCTGAAAAACGCAGGAGCAACGTATCAGCGGATGATGAACAAAGTCTTCCGCAACCAATTCGGGGATATGCTTGAGGTATACATGGACGACATGATCGTCAAGTCTCGAGTAGACACCGACCATGCTGCTCATCTCAGGGAAGTCTTCGCCCAAGCGAGGCAATGCAAAATGAGGTTTAACCCCGAGAAGTGCACGTTCAGGGTCAAGGCGGGCAAGTTTCTCGGCTTTTACTTAACAGAACGAGGAATCGAAGCCAACCCTAATAAGTGACGAGCTTTCTCTGACCTCCCCACACCTACGTCGAAAAAATCCATACAAGTCTTGAAATGCATGCTCACCTCACTATCCCGTTTCGTTGCAAAATCCGCTCAACACGCCATCCCTTTCTTCAAGCTCCTTCGGAAGGAAGTGACTTTCGAATGGACCGAGGAATACGAGTAGGCCCTGCTCCATCTCAAACAGAGCCTCTCGCAGCCGCCTATGTTATCGCGACTAGTTGACGGGGAGACCCTGTTTCTATACCTAGCTGTCTCAGTCGAAGCCATCAGCGCAACCCTCATTCCTGAGACGCATGACAGACAAAAACCCGTTTATTTCACGAGCAAGGCGCTTCAAGGGCCCGAGGTTAGGTACCAACAGATAGAAAAGGTGGCTTTGGCCCTCGTCAATGCAGCGAGAAGGTTTAGACACTATTTCCTCGCGCACACGATCATGGTGCGAACAGACCAGCCCGTGAAACAGCTCCTAGGTCGACCAGACATGGCGGGTCGAATGTTGAAGTGGTCCTTGGAACTTTCAGAATTCTACGTCCAGTACGATAGCGGGAAGGCCCTAAAGGCACATGCTTTGACCGATTTCATCACGGCGATGACTGCTTATAACCCCCCGCAGGAAAGGAGCACAAG